TCCTCTTTTTCTCTCCCCTAGAGGCGATCCCCTCTTTCCTGCGTCTTCTCCAGCCTTGGCCCCCCACGTGGTGGCTGTCGGAGCTTTTTTCCCAACAGTCACGTGGGCATGGCCCCCCCACTTCGATTCCTACTCAAAACCCCCATCCCAAACCTTCGTCTTCCTCAAATCCACCCCCAAATCAGAAACCCTCGTTTCCCCTTTCCTCTTTATCTTCAGATCTGCTTCAGTTTCGTTCGGATCCGCCTCCTAATCTTCCAGATCCGGCCGCTCCGGTGGTAGATCTGCCTCCCCCGCCTCCAGATCTAGCTTTTTTGTGTCCGCTGCCGCCGTTTGGCCGTTCGGCCTTAGTTTCCCTCTTCTGCAGTGGTCCGCGAGACTCAGCGGTCTGCATCGCTCTGAGCCGTCAGATACTCGCTCCTTCTCCCACCCTTTTGCCCTTTCCGCCATCCTCGGCCAGTTCGAAGGGGGACATCCGGCGTGGTCTCGGCGGTGGAGGCGCTGGCTCCGCTGCGGTCCTTTTGTAGCCGCATCAGCTCGGTTCTCCCTCTGCAGCGGGGTGCTCTCTTCTTCGGCTCCGGGTGGCTCCTTATTTTTCGGCTTCGGGCTGATTCCGCAAAGCAAGCTTCAGGGTCGGCTATCACAACTCTCCCCTCAACTACAGCGCCTATCCTCTCCACCGCGCCATCATCTGCCTCTATTTTAGCTCCAGTGCAGCTGCAGCAGGTTGGAGTTGCTACTGTCGCTCAACCTAACTGCTCCTCTGCTCAAAACTCCGTGTCGAGGCTCTCAGGGTCTGCTGCTCCTCAACAATTGTCATATGCTCAAGCTGCCAAAAACTCCAGAGGTCCTGGCTTCGTGAGAAATCATGCTCAACAGGTTCAAGCCTTTGCTCGCCTTCCAGATACAGGTTCGAATATTATCAGTGGCACCAAGGATGGTAAATTCTCGTTCTCCTTTGTCAATTCCGAGCTTTCAAAAATTGAGAAATTGTATGATAATGCGCTTGTTATGAAATTTCTGGGTGGCCGTCCGTCTCTTGAGTCTGGTCACAAAGAAATTATGAGTTGGGGAATTGATCACCCTTTCTCTATTGGCCCCCTATCATCAAGAGCTTTTCTGCTACGTTTTCAAAATGAAATAGACCTCCTTAAAGTCCTATCTAGATCGTCGTCCACCCTGATTACTTTCCCCTATAAAATTTTTAGGTGGCACGGTCTCTGCCATATAAAAGAGGACTCATGTTTCGCCCCAGTTTGGATCTCTTTTCCGAATCTCCCCCTTCAGTGTTTTATTCCTGAATTTTTAAGAACTGTAGCAAATAAAATTGGTCGTTTTTTGTGCTTGGACTTAGCCACAGCCACTCTTGCTAGGCCTAGTGCCGCCCGTGTTTGTGTTGAAATTGACCTCCGTAAACCCCCGCCTCAATCTATATGGATTGGTCTTTATGAAGGTTGTGATCAACAGATTTTATATGAAAAACTCCCAAAATTTTGCAATAGCTGTCACTCTCATGGTCATCTATCTGTGTCTTGTCACAAAAGTATCCCTGTTATTCCTCAACCCTTAGCTTCTGTCCATGTTCCTCATCCTCCCAAGCGTCCTCATCATTTTCGGCAGAATGTTAGTGGGTCTAGGCAGCATGTCAGTGGGCAGAACCCTCCTCTTTCAGCCTCTCTTCCTTTTCCCCCAAATATCCTCGTTAAACCCCCATCCGCTTCTATTCCAGCGAAATCATCTTCAGGGCCATCATCGTCGGCTACCCCCTCCATCCTGCTACTTTTCCCTGTTGATACGATCCAAGCCCCCCAAAACCAGCAGCATCAGCTTATTCCTGAGCCGCATCAACCTCTTTTAGTTCCATCCCCGGATGGTATTCAAGCTAATGAAAATTCCCAACCATCCATCTGTCATAACCAACCCCTTTCTCCTTCGAAAGCTCTTCTTAAGAATCAAAAGAGAAAATCAGTGAGTTTTAAAAATCAACAAACTAATGTCAGTGCTAATCAAGAATTCTTTGAGTCTGTTTCTCATAAAATAAATTCCATTGATCAATCATGCATTACCCCAAAAGAGGTTGTCATCCAAACCTCTCTTACCTCTGGACCTGTCCCGAATACCCCTGTTATATCATCGACAGTGGCGAGTAAGGCCATGTCCTCTTCCACTAGTGCGATTGTGATAGCCCTCCCCCAATCTTCTGATATCCATATCTCTTCCCCTGTGGAATCGGACTCAGGATCCTCTATAGCGATGGACTCTCAACCAAACTCTCCTTTGGATCAAGAAGGAAACAATATGTTTTCTGCCCAAACTGTCTCCGAGGGTGAAGAACAAAATGTTGAGCCCTCCCACTCTCTAGGTCATAACACTGATGACCTCTTCCAAAATCACCGAAAGTCTTCTAAAAAAACAAAAGACACCCCAACGCCCCTCTGAAAGTCCAGCTCAGGGCCAGAAACCCTGTCACGGATCATTAATGAATAATCACAAAATCGTTTGTTGGAATGCCAGAGGGATAGCAAACCCTGGCACTTTTGGTTTCTGTAGGCAATTAATTGCCGAACACAAACCTTTTTTATTCATCATTATTGAACCCATTGTTTCAACCACGTTCATTAGGAAATTCCACTTCTTTTGCGAATCGTCAAACTGGTTATCCAATGAAGACCTTGGGGGTAAAATTTGGATTCTGTGGCGTCCGAGTATTCTTGTCCAGCCTATCCGCGTAGACACTCAATGCATCTCCATTTCAGTGTCTCTGCCTTCCTTCTCTTTCTCTTTCTCGGCGATTTATGGTAAACATACTATTCAACGCCGTCGTCAATTGTGGGACCACCTTCGTTTCATTAACTCTATCAATGTCGGTCCTTGGTTGTGGGGAGGGGATTTCAATACCATTTCTTCCATTGAGGATCGTATTTGGAGGTGCCCCTCCTCAACCCCTAGCTATGGAAGAATTCAATGCTTGTATCAATGACTGCCACATGGTGGAAGAATTCAATGCTTGTATCAATGACTGCCACATGGCCCCTGTCAGCACATCGGGCCATAAATATATGTGGTGCAATAACTTTGAGAGTAGGCCACACACTTGGCAAACTCTTGACAGATTCTTCCAATCCTCGGATCTGTTGATCTCGGGGAACCTGTCTGCCCATGCTCTCCATAGATCTTTCTCTGATCACTCTCCTATCATTCTTTCTTGGAGTAATCAATCTTATGATGGTCCTAGGCTTTGGAGATTTCAGAGAATGTGGACTCGTCATGAATCTTTCAAAGCTCAGGTTCTCCATATTTGGCAGCGTCCTCGGTCTCATCCTCCCATCATTGATATTTGCATGAAACTCAAGTCCCTCCGATATGCCCTTAAACAATGGAATTCCACCATTTTTGGCAATATCTTCACTCAAAAGAAGGATCTTGAAAACGACATTCTTCGCATTGAATCCTCCCTTCAGGCTCAATGGGACCCCTCCTCTCATTATGAGCTGCAGTCTACTAAATCTAAATGGCACGAAATTGTTATCCGGGAGGAAATTTTCTGGAAACAAAAATCGCGTATTAGATGGCTTAAGGAAGGAGACTCTAATTCCAAATTTTTCCATGGTATGGTTCGGAGTAATAAGAGTCTGTTTCAGCTCTCTTCTCTTAAGGGCCTGAATGGGGATTCTTTCCATGGTCCCGCTGCTATTCATCAGGCGGCTATTAACCATCTATCAAACCTCCTGTCCTCTGAGCCTCATTGTGTGCGAGAAGAATTGTTGAGCCTGATCCCACCTTCGATTCAGGATGACACTAATGCTTTCCTCACTGCTCCTTTTTCCATCGACAAATTAGCTAGTGCTGCCGCCTCCATTCCAGCAGATAGCGCTGCTGGAATTGATGGATTCTCCTCTTCTGTCTTCACTTCCCAATGGAGTATCGTCGGTAATTCTATCCTTGAAGCTGTGAATGATTTTCTTCTTCACAAAAAACTTCCGGCTAGCCTTACCCACACTATCCTCGTGCTTATTCCTAAAAAAACAGCAAATGAACTCCCTTAATGATTTCCGGCCCATTAGCCTTTGTACTTCTTTGTACAAAATTTTTGCTAAGGCTTTATGTGCTAGATTAGCCACGATCCTTCCTACCATCATATCGTCTAATCAAGGTGCTTTTGCTAAGGCTTTATGTGCTAGATTAGCCACGATCCTTCCTACCATCATATCGTCTAATCAAGGTGCTTTTGTCAAAGGCCGGAACATTACAGACAATATCGGCTTGACAAAAGAAATATGCAGAGATCTTGATAAAAAAATCCAAACATCCAAACATTATTCTGAATCTGGACATGAACAAAGCTTATGACCGCCTTGAATGGGATTTTCTATGGTCGGTTCTGTCTTGATTTGGTTTCTCTGAGGCTTGGATTGACATCATGAAAGCTTGTATTTTCTCTGTTGTTTTTCAGGGTATATACAAAGGTTTCTTTAGTAGTTCTAGGGGCCTCCGTCAAGGAGACCCCCTATCCCCCAGTCTTTTCATCTTAGCTGAGGAAGCCCTCTCCCGTGGTCTTGAGAACATGATATCTTTTGACGCGAGGTTTTCCACTACCAAGGCCACGTGTCCCACTCACCTTTTGTTTGCGGATGATCTGATCATTTTTACCAATGCTGCCCGCAAATCCCTTAATCTCATTTTGAAGATCATTGATATTTATTCTCAAAGCTCTGGTCAACAACTAAACCTAGCCAAATGTCGATACTACATAAAATCTAAAGCTCCCCGTGAGCGCATTAGAGTTATTGACAACACTCTTCATTTCATCCATGGCCTTTTTCCAATGACTTACCTTGGAGTTCCGATTGGCCCAGGTCAACGTAAAGCTGCTCCTTTCCTCCCTCTTGTTGATAGGATTAAAGTCCGCCTCCAAGGGTGGCAAGGAAAACTCCTTAGCCAAGCGGGTAGACTCATTTTGATAAAACACGTTCTATCGAGCATGCCGATCCGTCTTCTTTCTGCCATCTCTATCCCTAAATCCGTTCTCTCTAAAATTGAAAGTCTGTTTGCTAATTTTTTTTGGGGATCCTCGGAGTTTGGTCACAAAAAACATTGGGTTTCTTGGCATAAACTTTGTCGTCCTATGTCCGAAGGGGGGCTTGGGATTCGCAAATTAACTGATGTGAACAATGCGCTTCGTCTTAAACACTGCTGGAATATATGTAACAATTCTTCCATCTGGGCTGCTTTCATGCATGAAAAATATTCCATCCCACTCTCCCCTATTGAATGGAATGGCCCTATTAGATGCTCCCCGGAATGGAAGAAAATTCTTGCTATTAAACAGGTTTTCTCGCATTTGTGTGGATGGACTATTGGTAAGGGTAATGTATCTTTTTGGTATGACAGATGGCACCCGGAGTTTCTCTTGGATCGCCTCAGTCCTTATGAGGATATCCACCTGAAACTTAGGGATTTTTGTCATGAAGGTAATTGGTGTTTTGTCAACCTTATTCCTACACTTGGGACTGATGTTGTGCAGGCTTTATACGACCATGCCCCTAGGCTGTCGGAGGATGATGATATTAGGGATTGGGCCCCTGAAAAATCCGGTTCCTTCTCGGTTAAATCGGCGTGGGAATCTATTCGTGGGCATTATCCTACTATTCCCATTCTCGCTGACATATGGTCCACTGTCACCCCATTTTCGGCTAAATTAGTTTGTTGGAAGATATTTCATAATATCCTCCCTGTGGACATGAAAGCTCAACAAAATGGCATTGCTTTGGCCTCAAAATGTGTTTGCTGCCTTAACCACAAATCTGAGTCTATTGAACATCTTTTTGTTGATAGTGATCTTGCCCAATCTCTATGGACCTACTTCAGCATCATTTTTGTTGTTCCTTATCTCCCTGCTCCGTCGATAACCACGCGCATGAAATGGTGGTTTCGCATCTGTAAAGGTAAATCTCACTTCTCCATAATGGGTAGGCTTGCGTGCATTGCTATTTGTAGACAAATATGGAGTTACAGAAACAATTCTATTTATGGTGGTATGAAGAAGGACCATATGCATGCGAGAATGGTTATAATCGACACCCTTCAACATTTGGATGCTATTGTTTTTCCCTCTATGCAGTCTTGCAAATATGGGATTGATTCGCTGCAATCTATAGGCATTACCCCCAAAAGCCCAAAAGCAAAACGAATTTCCTTGTAGGCTTGGACCCCCCCACGGCAGAGTTCATATGCCCTAAACAGGGATGGATCTTGCCGCAATAATCAAACGGCGATTGGGGGGGTTATTCGAAACCACTTGGGAAATTTGATTTGTGCTTTTGCCGGCCCTTCGGGGGAGGGAACTGGTTTTAATAGTGAAGTTAACGCTTTAGAGTTTGGGGCTGATCTGATTAATCAGATGAATTTACATCCTACCACTGCCTATTCTGACTCTGTTTCCTTAGTCAAGAGCATTGGTCAAGCATGCCCTATCTGGCAATTGCACAACAAGTGTCTAATTAACATAATTATTTAATTTTGGTCAGCCATGTTAGTGGGAGTATTTTACATTTTAAACCCTCAAAAAACTCATTATTGCAAGAGATAAGTGCATGGGGAAAAAGCTAGTCAACCACTCAACCTTTCACATCTCTTACTCTTCCAAGAAAATCCTATCATATCTCTCTCTCTCTTTCACTCTATATCAGGCCAGCAGAAACCCTCCTCTATATCCTCTTCCTCATTCATTTTTTTTCACCCTAAACCCTTGCATACCTTGAAGAAGAAGAGGGAGGTCAAGGATAGTCAAGAAGGGGTTCATTGAAGCTTGGAAAGGGAGGAAAGAGTATTCTAAGGTATAATCTCTAAAAAAAAATTCATTCCATCATTTAGAACTGAAATAAATCAATAATTATAGTTATATTATACTTGGGGTCTTGCATGTAACATTTTAGGGCATGCATGTCAAATTTATCTTGAAACAGAAATTTCGTGCAGAAATTTCCAGCAAGATACACTACCACTAAACAGATCATAACATTCTTTGTATATATCCAAATGAAGAAATTCTTTCTGTTATAAACACTAGACTTTAGTGGCTTTCATTTGACTCCCTGTTTGTTTAATTCTGAGATCATTTACTTATTTGAAAGTATGGTTTAACTCAGTGCATGTGCCTGAAACTGTCTGCCTGAGTTATGTCATTTGTAAAGAGTATATATCTCAACATAAACCATACATGCATAAAATTCTTTCTGTTATAGAAACTAGAATTTCGTGGCTTTCATTTGAGACCCTGTTTGCTTAATTTTGAGATCATTTACTTTTTTGAAAATATAGTTTAACTCAGTGCATGTGTCTGAAACTGTCTGCCTGAGTTATATCCTTTTTAAAGAGCATATATCTCAACATATGCAATGCATGCATAAAATTCTTTCTATTCCTAAAACTAGACTCAATTGTCTTTCTGTTGATATAAGTTTTAATTAATTTGAGTAACGTTTGGTATGTCTAAACCTAGTTCTAATAGCAAGCGTATGTGCTGGAAATTCCAGTCTACCCCCCTGTGTTGTTTTGCATGTAACATGCATTTTAAAAATGCAAAATTGATGAAACTCATGGGACATGGAAGCTAATCCATAATATTACTTATATACCAAGTATGAGCACTTTGGGATATAGTTAAGTACCCGATATAAATTATTCATCCCAAATGATGATCTCTATTTTTCTGCTACAGTTTTGATAGGTGTAGTTTTCTGAGATAAATTATTCATCCCAAATGATGATCTCTATTTTTCTGCTACAGTTTTGATAGGTGTAGTTTTCTGAGAGCATGACTCTTACTATACACCATGCATTGATGTAAAAGTTTTATATTCTGAAATTAGACTCATAATGGAGTTATTTGAGACTAGTTTCATGCATTTTGGATATCAATTGTTGTACCATATATTCACCTAAATCTGCTGCATGTACACTACTTAGGTTGCTGTGCATATTAGAGATATTAGATGCAATCATCTAGGGTGTAGCTTATACCATGATATAAGTTTTAAGTTAAAGTTTTAAAATACATAGTGTCTAGAATCTCATGTGGGTATACATGTATATATAGGACAGAGAATCTTGGATTTATTCGTTGGCCGAGAGGATCCCGACATAATCGGTAGGTAACCTTTCATTGTTTCCTCTCAAGTCTTTGAGAGTTCGATTGATTACTTTCTTGAAATTCCTGCGAGTTAGTTTCCCATGCTAATTGTATATCTTATCATTTTCATAATATTCCTATTTGATTCACCTCATGCATGGGCTCGTTGTTGATTGGTTAATCATTGCTATCCTAATGTTGTTTATTTCAGCTTTATACCTTCGATGTCCTTGAATGATTTCATTGCAACAATTCAAATTGATTCGATGGTTCAACTATTGATAATGATAGTATTCCTCTCTTCGTTGATGCTTGATTGTCTATATTCATGGATTATGCCCTGTGTGAAGTAAGCTTCACCGGTGGGTGGTAACGATATAGTGTCCCGGTGGGACAATGCCCTGTGTGATGACGCTCACCGATGGGTGTATAAAGGCATGCGCGGTTTATTGATTATCCCATGATTGGGGAGTTTGGAATCCTGAATATTAGACCTTGATTATTCATCTTTACATGTTATTTCACTTCGGTCAATGATTACGATATAAGAATGGCAACTTAATGTTGAGACCCCGTTGTTCAAGTTTGATATCTATGTCTATCATTTTCATTCGTTCCCTTGGATTGTACCCGAGATTTTTATGGTTACCTATTGGGCCTTAGGCTCACCCCTATTGTTTCTGAATCCACTCGCAGGTCATACAACTGGAAAGGATAAGGGCATTGCAGACCCTGAATTTGAAGATTAGCTCCAGAGGAAAATCTTAATAGGGGTTAATTTATGTTCACTTTTGTAATACCTTTGACTTATAAAACATGTATTAATGTTGTAGCCACTGCTATTATTGTAATGTGTTGTATTACCCATTAGTTCTCTTCTATTTTGGTATTCAATGGACTCTGCTGTCAACCTCGTGATCTTGGGTATTGCATATGGATCTCTACTGCTTTATTTTTCGCCCTTCAGTATATCTATGTTGTGATGTGCATAAAGATTTAGCAGGTCGACCCTTTTTATTACAGATAGGTCATGCTCAAATTTTTTATGTACCTCCCAGAGGAGGGGCGTTACACAGTGGTATCAGAGCACAGGTTGACACCTTAAGAGTCCTACATTGAAATACCTAGGGGACGTAGGGATCTTTCTAGTCGGTGTCAAACACTAGTCATGGAGGGATTATCTTTCCATGACATTCTTGTGATATCTAGATTTCTATTAGGTTGGTTTTGTACCATTGGAGGCTTATAGGTGACTTCTGGTAGGAATGGCAGATTCAGATTCGAGTGTTTCTGAGATGGAAGGATCCATTAGCAGCGGGGAGGTGTGGTCAACACTTTCAGAGGATTGGGAGATCAGCTTTGAGGAGACTGACCCGGAGGAGACATTTGGGGAGAGAGTAGATTACTCTTCGATTAGCCATCACACTCGTGGGCAATTGGCGAAGAGTGGCGAGCTTGAGAATGAGGACCTTGAAGAGGAGGACTCTGAGGAGGAGGACCCTATAGAGGAGGATTACGAGGAGGAGGACCCCGAGGAGGACCCTATAGAGGAAGACCCCGAGGAGGAGGACCCTATGGAGGAGGATCCCGAGGAGGAGGACCCCGAGGAGAACCCTATGGAGGATGAGGATCCAGCGGAGGAGCCTATGGAGTGGGAATTTGAGGTAGCACAATAGCCCCTACTTGATGAGTTCCAAGAGGGAATTCCACTTGGATGAGAGCTTGACCTGGATGAGGAGGATTGGATTTTACAAATGAAGAAGATATTTTTAGTCTTAAGTTGCACAGAGGAGCAAAAGGTGTCATTTGCCGCCTTCATGTTCAGAGGGGAAGCTGAACATTGGTGGAAGACAACCTTAAGATTAGAAAGGGCTGCCCAGAGACAGATTGATTGGGATAGATTTGTGGAGCTTATGAATAAGAAATATATCCCGGAGAGTGTTAGGGATCAGTGGGCTATTTAATTTCAAGGTTTGCAACAAAATAACATGACAGTCAAAGAGTATGAGGCTAAGTTTACTCAACTATTAAGGTTTGCTCCACATTTGATCGCTGAAGAATCAGATAAGGCCAAGAAGTTTCAAAGGGGACTCAGGGGAAATATCAGAGGGAAACTAGTGGCCCTCAGAATCAGGAACTACGCAGAACTGGTTGAGACTGCGTTTGAAATTGAGAAAGACCTGCTAGAGTATCAGGAGATCCGCAATAAGAAGCAGAGTTTAGTTAAACGCCCACGAACAGAAGGAGGTCTCACAACCGATAAGTCAGCATCGAATCAGCCCGGGAGGTCAGCGACAGCAAAATTTCCCTTTCGTCATGATCGAGCAAATCAGCCAAATAAGTCAGCAGCGTGCCCTAGATGTGGCAATCATCACTCTGGATATTGCAGACTTCACCGTGCATGTTTCGAGTGTGGTCAACCTGGGCACTTCAAGAGAGATTGTCCAACCTTGAGGAATCAAGCAATAACAGAGCGAGCACCAAGAGGAGATCACGCGGCTCGAGCTAATGCCTCACAGCAATCAAATGCTCCCCAGCGGAAGGCTCAGTCCAACCAGAGTGTGCAGCAGAACCAAAGGAACCAAGGAAGAGTTTTTGCCCTGACAAGGAAGGATGCACAAGCATCACCATCCGTGGTGGAAGGTACAGTTCCCATATGTTCATTCACCGCTCATGCACTTTTCAACCCTGGATCTACACACTCTTTGTATCACCTCACTTTGCTAGGAATTTTCCCAATTCACCGACACTATTAAGTAGTGAGATAATTGTGTCCACACCTATGGGTGGTAGTCTCCTAGCAACATATGTTTATGAGAATTGTGGAGTTTTAGTGAGTGATCATGTCATGAATGCAGACCTTGTATGCCTAGACATGTCAGATTTTGATGTTATCCTAGGAATGGATTGGTTAGCATCTCATCATGCAACTATAGACTGTTTGAGAAAACTGATAAAGTTTAAACCACAAGCGGAGGCGAGTTTTGTTTTCCAAGGGGAAAGTAGAAGACCACTCACGCACCTAATCTCATTTATGAAGGCTAATAAATTGTTAAGGCAAGGTTGTAGTGGATATTTAGCTTGTGTGATAAGTGACCAATTGAATGAGAAAAAGCTTTCAGATATACTTGTTGTAAGAGATTACCCGGATGTCTTTCCAGAAGATTTGCCAGGATTGCCTCCAGATCGGGAGATAGAGTTTGCCATAGACTTGGTCCCAGGGACCACTCCTATATCTAAAGCCCCTTATAGATTGGCGCCAGTTGAGATGAAGGAACTAAAGGAACAACTTCAAGAGTTATTGGATAAAGGATTCATTAGACCCAGCGTGTCTCCATGGGGAGCACCAGTCTTATTTGTGAAAAAGAAAGATGGGAGTATGAGACTCTGTATAGATTACAGAGAGTTGAATAAATTGACCATTAAGAATAAGTATCCACTCCCAAGGATAGATGATCTATTTGATCAGCTTCAAGGAGCTCAATATTTTTCCAAAATTGATTTAAGGTCAGGGTACCATCAGTTAAAGATTAAGCCTGAGGACGTAGCAAAAACAGCATTCAGGACTCGCTACGGTCACTATGAATTTTTAGTGATGCCTTTTGGACTGACTAATGCGCCGGCCGCATTCATGGATCTGATGAATCGGATATTCAAACAATATTTGGATCAATTTGTGGTAGTTTTCATTGATGACATATTGATCTATTCTAAGAGTTACCAAGAACATGAAGAACATTTGAAGATTGTATTGCAAATCCTAAGAGAGCAACAGCTATACGCAAAGTTTAAGAAGTGTGAATTCTGGCTAGAAAAGGTGATATTTTTAGGCCATGTGATCACTAGAGATGGGATATCCGTGGATCCAGCGAAGGTTGAAGCTGTCGTGAACTGGCCGCGTCCCACCTCAGTGACTGAGATTCGTAGCTTTTTGGGACTAGCAGGATATTATAGAAGATTTGTTAAAGACTTTTCCCAATTAGCAGCCCCTTTAACTTATTTGACTCGTAAGAATGTCAAGTATAATTGGAGTGAGAAATGCGAAGAGCATTTTCAGGAGTTGAAGAAACGGTTGGTAACTGCTCCCATCCTCACTATCCCTACGAGTTCAGATAAGTTTGTGATATATAGTGATGCATCTTCCAGAGGTTTAGGTTGTGTTCTAATGCAGAATGAGAAGGTAGTGGCTTATGCCTCCAGGCAATTGAGACCTCATGAGAAGAATTACCCCACTCATGATCTGGAATTGGCTGCTGTGATTTTTGCCCTGAAGATATGGAGACACTATCTATATGGGGTATCATGTGATATTTATACAGATCACAAGAGCCTAAAGTATATATTTACTCAGAAGGAGATTAACATGAGGCAAAGAAGGTGGTTGGAATTGCTGAAAGACTACGATGTAAATATTCTTTACCATCCAGGTAAAGCGAATGTAGTAGCAGATGCTCTCAGTCGGAAGAATCATATTGCATCAGCTTGTTTGCTAACTAAACAAGCCGAGTTAAGTAAGGAGCTTGAGAGAATGGAGATTGAAGTTAGAAAGTATTCTTCTGGAATGAAGATTTGTCAGATAAGCCTACAACCTACTCTGTTGGACCAAATCAAGGAGCGACAGAAGGAAGACAAGGAGCTATGTGAGATAAGGAAGAAGGTGGAACAAGGAAAATATTCAGACTTTAAGATTCAAGATGGTGTTTTGAAGATGGGTAATCGCCTTTGTGTACCCAATGATGGGGAGCTTAAGGATCAGATATTGAGAGAAGCTCACCAGACCCTATATGCTCTTCATCCGGGTAGCACCAAGATGTATCAGAACCTCCGACAAAACATCTGGTGGAACCGCATGAAGGAGGAGATAGCTATATTTGTATCAAAATGTTTAACATGCCAGCAGGTGAAGATTGAACATCAGAAACCATCAGGACTATTACAACCTTTGCCCATTCCAGAATGGAAATGGGATCACCTCACCATGGATTTTGTTACTGGACTACCCCGATCAACAAAAGGAGAGGATGCCATATGGGTGGTAGTTGACCGCCTGACCAAGTCAGCGCACTTCATACCCTACAAGATGTCGTATACCATGGAAAAGTTGACCAGCTTATACATTGAAGAGATCGTGAAGCTCCACGGGATTCCCATATCCATTGTATCAGATCGAGACCCCCGTTTCACCTCAAGATTTTGGAAGAGCCTACATCAAGCTTTGGGGACTAAACTGAAGTTCAGCACTTCAGCACATCCTCAAACTGATGGACAATCTGAGAGAACGATACAGACCCTGGAGGACATGCTGAGAGCTTGTACCTTAGATTTTGGAGGCAATTGGGCTACGCATTTGCCACTAGTAGAGTTCGCCTACAATAATAGCTTTCATTCTAGCATTGGCATGACACCTTATGAAGCCCTATATGGGAGGCGATGTAGATCCCCTATCTGTTGGGAAGAGACTGGTGATCGTCGACTACTTGGACCAGACGTAATCCAGGAGACGACTGAGAAGATCCAAACTATTCGGCAACATATGCAGACGGCCCAAAGTAGGCAAAAGAGCTATGCAGATCGTCGACGCAAGGACCTAGAATTCTAGGTTAGTGATCATGTGTTTCTAAAGGCTACGCCAATGAAAGGAATAACAAGAGGTGGCAAGAAATGCAAACTCCGTCCGAGATACCTTGGGCCATTCGAAATTTTGGAGAAGATCGGACCTGTAGCCTACCGGCTAGCCTTGCCCCCAGAATTGGAGAAGATTCATAACGTGTTCCACGTCTCAAACCTGAAAAAGTACGTACCAGACCCCAGACACATCATTTCGCACCAAGCCTTGCCCCTGCGGGAGGATCTATCTTATGAAGAACAACCGGTTCGAGTGCTAGGCTTTAAGGAGAAGCAGCTGAGAAACAAATCCATATTACTGGTTAAAGTTTTATGGAATAATCGAGGCGTTGAGGAGGCAACATGGGAACAAGAATCTGAGATGCGAAAAACATATCCACATTTATTTTGAGGGTACGTAAAAATTTCGGGGACGAAATTTCCTTAAGGGGGGAAGTATGTAACATTCCAAATTTTTTTTTCCTTTCATTGATCGGATACCGTTACCGACACCAATCCATAAATTAGTAGATTCTTTTCTTTATTGCATCTCATATAATCTTCTAGTATGAGAATTTAACTTAGCTAATTCTCATATTGTGATCTAGTTAACTAAGTCATAGCATGCATACAAACTTAGCATGTAAACCTAAGTTAACCATGCTTTAAACCTTGATTAGAGATAACCAAATCATTAAATACCTAATGTGAAACTCTCTAATTAACATAGTTATTATATTTGTTCAGCCATGTTAGTGGGGGAAATTTTGCATAAAACCCCTCAACTTTGGCCAAATTGAGGATTTCTCTTCACATGGGCTTATATATATGTGCCCTCCACCTCTCACTTTGCCATTTAAGAAGAAAAATCTCTTAAAAACCTCCTCCCTCTCCTCTGAACGTCTCCAGCACCTCTCCTCTTAAAGAAAAAAAACATGCTTTAAACCTTGATTAGAGATAACCAAATCATTAAATACCTAATTTGAACACTCTAATTAACATAATTATTTAATTTTGGTCAGCCATGTTAGTGGGAGTATTTTACATTTTAAACCCTCAAAAAACTCATTATTGCAAGAGATAAGTGCATGGGGAAAAAGCTAGTCAACCACTCAACCTTTCACATCTCTTACTCTTCCAAGAAAATCCTATCATATCTCTCTCTCTCTTTCACTCTATATCAGGCCAGCAGCAACCCTCCTCTATATCCTCTTCCTCATTCATTTTTTTCACCCTAAACCCTTGCATACCTTGAAGAAGAAGAGGGAGCTCAAGGATAGTCAAGAAGGGGTTCATTGAAGCTTGGAAAGGGAGGAAAGAGTATTCTAAGGTATAATCTCTAAAAAAAAAAAATTCATTCCATCATTTAGAACTGAAATAAATCAATAATTATAGTTATATTATACTTGGGGTCTTGCATGTAACATTTTAGGGCATGCATGTCAAATTTATCTTGAAACAGAAATTTCGTGCAGAAATTTCCAGCAAGATACACTACCACTAAACAGATCATAACATTCTTTGTATATATCCAAATGAAGAAATTCTTTCTGTTCTAAAAACTAGACTTTAGTGGATTTCATTTTAGTCCCTGTTTGTTTAATTCTGAGATCATTTACTTATTTGAACGTATGGTTTAACTCAGTGCATGTGTCTGAAACTGTCTGCCTGAGTTATATCCTTTTTAAAGAGCATATATCTCAACATATGCAATGCATGCATAAAATTCTTTCTATTCCTAAAACTAGACTCAATTGTATTTCTGTTGATATAAGTTTTAATTAATTTTAGTAACGTTTGGTATGTCTAAACCTAGTTCTAATAGCTAGCGTATGTGCTGGAAATTCCAGTCTACCCCCCTGTGTTGTTTTGCATGTAACATGCATTTTAAAAATGCAAAATTGATGAAACTCATGGGACATGGAAGCTAATCCAATGCAAAATTGATGAAACTCATGGGACATGGAAGCTAATCCATAATATTACTTACATACCAAGTATGAGATCTTTGGGATATATTTAAGTACCCGAAATAAATTATTCATCCCAAATGATGATCTCTGTTTTTCTGCTACAGTTTTGATAGGTGTAGTTTTCTGAGAGCATGACTCTTACTATACACCATGCATTGATGTAAAAGTTTTATATTCTG